TATAAATTAAGTTTATTTTTAATTCAGGAATTGGTGACCGTCACTTGGAAAATTATTTAATTGATCTTACCAAGTAATCCATTGAATATTCAAAGAATTTAATTTACAGATCGAATATAATTAATAACTTTTTCTTTTAGAGGGTCATTAATTTCCATTGATTTTGGTCACGCATTTGGATCTGCGACTGAAACACTTGAAGTCCCAGAATTGGTACCATTCCGGCTTTCTAGACAATTTGAAAGTATAATGGAACCGCTCGGGTCACGAGGTCTCTTGGAGTATCCAATGATAAAAATAATGCAAGGTAAGCCTGACCCAAGTGATAAAAATAATTTATAAAAATTCTTATTAATTCTATATATATAATATATATATATATATATATATATTGATTTATTTATTTATTTATTTATTTATTTATTTATTTATTTATTTATTTATTTATTTATTTATTTATTTAGCTATGCAAGCACACAAGGATATATTGCTTAATGCGATGGAAATCTTTGTTAAAGAGCCATTATTAGACTGGCAAACTAGAGCAAGGAATCAAGCACGACAACAAAGTAAATTTTTTTTTCACATTTTATTCTACATAAAATATCCAGATCATTTGTCTGATATAGATACAATTTTTAGAAAATGCAGAAAGTAGTGAATTTGATGAAAGTTCTCAAACATCTGAATGGTATCCACGCCAAAAATTGGATATTGCTAGACGCAAACTTGAGGGTGCAAACCCTGCCTGTGAGTGTTTTTTTTTGAACCAGTTAATTTCCATCATTCATTCTAAAATTTATCGCGTAAATTATTCAATAGATCTTGTTTGTGAAGAGTTGGCGTTTGGTCATTCAAAGAAAGTGTTTTTTGAGAATATTCAAAAAATTGCTAAAGGAGATCGGGAACATAATATTAGAGCTCGTGTACCACAAAAATGTGGTAGCATTAAAGAACAAGTTGAATGTTTGATTGATTTGGCAACTGATCCTGTTGTTCTTGGCATTATGTGGGTTGGATGGTTGGGTTGGTTTTAATTTACTATTATACGCCTTATGACGGACTATATTTAAGGAACGTATTATTAAGCAAGCTAATACGGACTGTGATTTAAATTTAGAAGGAATTATAAGTTAAAAAATTATACATTATTAGATTTCGATATTCAACATGATAACTATTTTACAAAATTTATTTCTGTAGAGCTTCTTTCAAAGATTAAGCACTATTGTTTTTAAAATAATTGAAAAAAAATTATAAGTTGTATATTTTACTTTTTTTTAATGCAATTAAATTAACTGTTAAAGTCATGATTACTTGTGATGACGAGACCATTGGTTTCGTCAATTTCGTAATATCTGTAGTAATGACTGGACTCAGTCAACATGGGATTCGAGTATACATGGGTGTCTAAATTATTTTTTTAAAAAAGTAATTTCTATGACAAACCGGTTTATTCATTTAACCAATCAATTTTTGTTCACATGCTTCATGAAAGTGAGCGGATTATAATCCTGGACACTCTATTCGGTTCCGATCAATTCACCAACAGTCAATTCACTGAATGCTCATTTAGCCGACATCACATATGGTTAGGGTTAGCATTTGATAGGTATATTTTTACTAAATTTAATCTGGGGTGATGTCGTCTAAATGAGCTGTCGGTGAAGTGATTGTCGGTGAAATAATACGGACCCACTCTAATACCGGACGGTCTACGGGCACTGCAGGGACCAGAGAAAATATTGATTTATTTAGATCAATATAAATCGATATTTTTGGGTCAAATCGTGGGTAAATCGATATTTTTACGAATCTTTCTGTAGTGTAACATTACACAATACTGGTGGCCAGAATTATGAATAGTGCTGGCCAAAATTGATTTAGAGACCTCTGAATCGTGATATAAAAGGCTTTTTCACGATTATCTTACAATTTAGATGGAAGCTTTTTTTTTTTTTATTTTTTTTTTTAATAAAAAAAATAAGAGATATTTTTTTTTGATGTTTCGTTGAAGGCTCTTCATTACGCCCAGAACAATAAAATGCCTCCCAAACGAGTTACCGCATATTCTCATGTGCAGGAATTTCAAGACGATTTAGTTGCTGATGCCGGCCTTTTGATGTGCTGATTTTGTTGCTACTCTGTAAATTGGAAAGCAAAGGCAACTATTACAGCCCATATTAATACAAATACACATCAAAATTTAAAACAAAATGCACTTATCTCTTCAAGTAAAACCAGACAACCCACCTTAAATTCTGTGGTCGAAGCAAGTAAATCAAAGAAGACCGCTATTAATAATTTAATCTGTGCATTCGTTCAAGCCGACATTCCTCTAGAAAAGGTAAACAAGCTTAGACCATGGTTAAGAATGTATTTACATGAAGGTGGTAATATTCCTTCTGCCAATGCCTTGCGTCATGATTATCTTCCTGAAGTTTTTGAAAATTACTTAATTACAATTAAGCAGATGTTTAGTGGCAAAAAGGTTTCGTTAATTGTTGATGAAACTACTGATAGTAGGGTGCGAAGCGTTGTTAATATTTTGTTTAACTATCGTGACTTAACCAAGTTAGTGGTTGTAGATTACTTAGATATAGTTAA